ATCATTCGATCAATTAATTAGACTCCGTGTTCGATTCGAGACAAAATGCTGCTCCGATACTATCGTATCGGGCAGCTTATACATCGTAAGTTACATCAAAATTTGAAATTATTGTAAGTTTTACAATCCTAATTGTCGGACCAAAACCAGGAACTTGATGCAGTATGTGGGGTTTTCAAAGTTAAAAAAAAGTAGCGCATTTTAAAAATAAATGTTGTTTGAAAATTTTTATTTGCATTTCAAAATTTTAAAATCAGAAAAAGAAATGGGAGTGTTTAGAGACTCCCATTTAACGGAATAAATAAGCTTTTCAACGACAAAAATCATTATTTCAAAATTTATCAGAAAATGAAATAAAGTTGATACATGATACATCGCTCATTTAAAAATAAATCCGTTATCTATTTCTGTCAAAATTAGATTCCCTAGTATACTTTCGGCAGGGTTGTGAATAGACAATAGACAAGCCAATAGACTTAATAGACAGTCTAATGGTCCAATGGTGTCTAATTAAGTCATTAGACAATAGACAAATTACTATATAATTTAAATCAATATGATTGGTTAATTTTAGTTATCATCATCTTGCTAATATATAAAAAAAATTAGCTTAAAACCAATAGACATTAGACTCATTAGACTAATAGAATTTCAATAGACTATTAGACAATTGGGCAATAATTTTTTTTGATTAGACTATGTCTATTCACAACCCTGCTTTCGGGGTGTAGAAATTTCGTATTGTATTTTGTTATTGAATGTACTGTACTGTACGTAAATATAAGTGTACTATAATGTGTATCCGTAACGTATTTGCGTGTAATAACACACATGTGCGTTATTTCGAAATTGCCACTTTTTTAAAAATCGCCTATTTGACTCAAAATAACGCACATGTGCGTCCCGAAATAACGCACCTCCCTTAGAGTTTGCACGATAAATATAAGTATAGAGAACATGTCTATTAAATTATTGGCAATATTGATCCAAAATAACGCACATGTGCGTCCCGAAATAACGCACATTACGCGAAAATATGGTAATTGAAACTATATATAACAAGTGCCTACGGAGCTTGTTTGAGACAAAATAAATTTGTAAACAGGTTGTTTCAGATAAAATACGTCAACAATTTAACTAAATTAGATTCCCACACTTTTAACTCCATTAATAAGATTTTATTATCATATAAAAATGAAAAAATTTTATTTACCAATATTATTTATTTTCACATTACAAATTTCTTCTGTGGTTCATGCTCAGAATCATCCGTTGGCGAAATTATGGGATATACAAGATGTTCAAGTACTTGAGTACTTACGTAGAGAAGATAATTTAACCAGATTAGAAAGAATCATAAAACCACTAATAAATGAATCATCATTTGGTGGAATTTATGCAGATGTTAAAGAGAATAAGTTACTTGTCTATATAAAAGATCCTACTATAGAAAACTTACCTGCACTGGATCCGCATAGGAATTTTCTGACATTTCATACGGTGAATAAATCCCTAGATGAATTGAAAACTGAATTTAATAATTGGATTAATGGACTAAAAGTATTTCCGCAAAGAGACCATTATGTTTATATTGATATAAGAAATAATGAAGTCTTTCGGGGTCCACCTAACAAAACAACAAATGCCATGCATCCTGGTCCGAGTGAGGAACTACATAAACGACAACAAAAATAAATGAACTAATCTTAGCTGGTGATGGTATTTTGCATTATGAACGTGTGAATAAAAATGATAGGAAAAGTAAAACATGTTCGGTTGGTTTTATTGCACGTTCCACAAAAGAAAGATCCATGGTCAACCCATTTTTTATATCATAACCGAAAGAAATTATTGCTATGATGCTGAATTTGACCCCACCGCCAATTCAAATAGTTTTTATTCACGGCCGTGGAATTCAGTCATTACTTCTAGGTATAGCTTGAAACCTGTGGGTATCATGTATAACCCGAATTCTTCAATGCCATACAATTTTGGTGAAATCAGTTGGACATCTAAATCATTTAATAAATCACCAGCTATAAGAAATTCAGATGACCAAAATTATCCAGAGCTAACTATACATGGTCCTAAAAAAGAAAGTGAAACTATCCCTGGAGGTCACATATGCCATTCAGGGTTTGGTACGCATGTTACTTGTGGAAATATAAAAGCTTTTAATGGATTTTATTTAGATAAAAATAAAACACCATCTGAAAGTTTGATAATTACAGATATGCAAACCGTTATAGAAGATTTAGGTGGTCCTGTATTTCTTTATACTCCAGAGAATTTGGGTCTTGTAGATCTATTTGGCATACAAGTTACTTCAAGTTCCCAACTTACTGCTGCTCTACCATATGAAATTATTCAGGATATAACTGGATATACTCTTTATGATGGAAATAACAATTAAGGATGAATAAACTTTTTTCATGTATGTTTTTGATTTATTAATATTTATTTCATGGGTATTTGTAATTACTTGTGTTTTTTTGTTACGATCAGAAATGTTATTATTATGGTCATTTCTACAAAGGTCTATATTCTTGTAAAGAGTTAATGCTTCGATAGTTATATAAATATCAGTTTACTAAATTATCCGAATATTGATATATTCCAATTTGCAGCTTACTTTATTGTTACTTAATATTTAAAGTTTGGATAGAAATTATAATGACATTTTGGTATAATTATAATACTTTAACTATTAAAGTATCCAATTAATACTCTACAGAAACTAGCACTTTTTTTAATGAGTTTATGATAATATTAAAGTAATAAATATGATAGTTTTCATAATGAAAAGATTATTTATTTTAATTTTAAGATTTAATATAAAAATAATAATAAAATTATTGTTTAATAATTATAAAATTATTGTAAATTATTATAAGATTGTTATAAAATTATTGTTTAAGATTATAAGATTTTTTAAGATTTTTTTAAGATTTTTAAAGATTATTTAAGATTTTTTAGGATTATTATAAGATTATTTTAAGATTACAAAATAATTATAAGATAAGATTATTATAAACTATTATAAGATTATTATAAGATTATTATGAGTGTTATAAGATTATTATAAGATATAATTTTAATAATTTTATTACAATCTTTAAAATTATAATAATTAAATAAAAAAAATTAGCTTGTTTCTGTAAAGTATATATATAGTTAACTTTCTTTATGCTAAAATTTCTATTCTAAATATTAAATTTTTTATAAAGTTCTGTTTAAAGAGTTTTATTACATCTTAAACAAAATTTAATAACAAAATTATAAATGCTTTAAAATTTTGTATTTAGCTTATATCAAGTTAAATACTATTGGCCTTCTCAAAACTGGTATATATAGTAGACAGGTTTAGTATTGTTATCAGATTTGAAAAAATCATATAATAAATGGTTGAAAATCAGCCAATTAAATTGCAGAATTGGTGTGTACTAGGTTTGTGGTGCAGATTTGCAATAATAAAAAGTTTATTGATGTTAGGTTAGCATTTAGATTAGGGTTAGATACTCACAAATTATCTAGCAAATTTGCTCAATAAATCTTTTTATTAGACATTAACAAAGGTTATTTATTCAGGTTTTTAAAATAAAGATTTGTACTAAACTCTGATTTGTAATTTAGAAAATTTGTATAACATATATTATACACACCATTACTTTGATTAACTAAATCTCATATGACTATAAGTACATATTCATTGACGATTCAAGCATGCTTGATGAATCAAAATTAGCATATGTGCAAAAAATTTGAATTAAGCATTCTCAATAATTACCTGATCAAATTTAATAAAATTTTTTTAATTTTAATTTTTTAAATATATAGAATTAAACAAAAAAGTTCAAATTTTGTTAGAGAGACTTTGTTTAATTTTAGAAAGAACTGATTCATTTATTAGTAAATTAAATTTTTTAAAACTCTAAGAAAAGTTTTCTCAATAACCTCCTAACCAAATTGAATAATTATTTTTATTTTATTTCTCCACATTTATATGATTAAAATATAAAATTTTTATTGAATTTGATCAAAAAAACTTATTCAAAGTTTTAAAAATTTAACAGTACTTAAATTACTAAGGCTACACAAAGATAATATTTAAATTTTGATTGGAGATTAGATTTTTTTTGTTAATCTATATAGCAAAGTATTTAATTTCTAAGTCTTTCTTGAAACGCATTTTACTTTTCAGGTAATTTCAAGTTCATTAATTTTTAAATCAGTTAATTCATAAGGTATTAAAACTATATTGAATTTAAACATATTGTTAACTTACAAAATATAAAAATAACTTGTAAACAAATTAGTCAAAAATGGAAATACTAATAGAATAATTTATCTTTATATTAGATTTTTATCAGTATAAAACTAGAAAGACATTTCTAGAATAGACCCAGAATTTACATATTTATCGTAAAACTAATTGTATATAATTTAAGAAAATTAGTGTTCTTATCCATTATCTGTTTATCCATTTATCTATTGAATATCCAAATCTGAATTTATTTGGATATCCATTTTACTATTAATATTTGGATAATTATCTGATTATCTGTCAGATTATCCAGATATACAAGTGATTTAGATAATCCAGATAATTGGATATGAATAAATGGATGACAGATTTATCTGAATTAGAACTCTAAAAAAAATTATTTGTGTATAGTGTCTATCAAATTTGGTCCAACACTAAGTTAAAACTGCTAATTAAAATAAGAGATAATTATTTAGAGCCCATTATTGTTGATTAAACAAGTAAAAAGTAATCTATATTATAGATATAAACATAATTTTTAGAGCAGTATAACTTATACAGTCGTCCCTTCTATAGTCACTTCCTCTATAGTTACAAAATCAATATAATCATATTTATTTTTTTACCAACTATTTTTATATTATTTATACCTTTATATAAGCACAATTGCTCTATAGTCACTATCACAATTTTTTATTTATCATTTATATAATATATATATAAAACAGATATATATCATTTTACTAACAATCATTTTACTAACATTTCATTTCATCTACAATCAATTCACTGACAAGTTTATTTCAATGACAACTATTACGATCATTTTACCAACAAGTTTTTTTAAAAAATTGCACTAACCTTAACTTTAATTCTAATCTGACTCTACCAAAATGACCAGAATTACTTTGTTAGTGAAATGATTGTTGGTGAAATAACTGTTAGTGGAATAAACTTGTCAGTAAATTGACTATCAGTGAAAACTGTCAGCAAAGCGATTGTCAGTGAAATAAGCATCACTCATATAAAACTACCCTTACTAAAGTCACATCAGAATCACAGGTTTACTTGATTTACTCTATTCTAAGTAGAGATACCAGCAATTTGTGATAGCATAATCTGTATATAAATCAGATTAAGTTACAAAAGTAGTTTTATTACAAAATCCTGACTTCTAAAATCCTGGCAATACATAATCATGATATCTAAAATTCTGACTAAGAATCCCACCTAAGACAGAATTCTGACAAGTCAAAATTCTGACTAAAACAGAATCTTGACAAGTCAAGATCCAGACATTTAAAATCCTGAATAATCAAAATCACGATCATCAAAAATTCCAAAGGTCAAGATTCTATTTAAAACAGGATCTTGACAGTTTAAAATTTTAAAAGGTCAAAATTCCGTATAGTCAAAATTCTGAATAGCCAATATCCCAAAAGTAAGATCCTGACCAAGACAGGATTTTTGATATTTATAAAAAATTAGCTGATGATTTGTCAGCTGATTTGATTAAGATTGTAATTGACCAAGTTACTTAAGACCCAGTAGTTAATATAAAGCTATTATGTACATTGATATTCTAAATAAGCATACATATGATACAAAAATAGCTTTTAGGCTACACAAATATTATTTTTTGTTTTGCATCACAAAGCATTCAAAATTTCAATCAGGGCAGTCAGATTTTTTTTTTTAATTCAAATAAGTCATTTATTTCTAAGGCTATCTTGAAAAAGTATTTTTTTTTTTTAGATGGTTTCAAGTTCTTTAATAACGTTCAAATTAGCTAAATTATAAGGTATTATAAACTATGTTGAGTTTAACTTATCAGTAACTTGCTAGGTACAAAAATAACTTGTAACTATAATATCTATATACTAATCTGTTATTCCTTTTAAAATTTAAATATAGAAAAACCTTGTATATTATTTTTCTAGATCTTCTTTGTGAACACTATAGTATTAGGCATTATTGTATATTGTTGATGGCCTAGTACAATCTTGATATAAACGTGACTACACCTAAATTTTGCCATCAGATTTAATATGAACATTACGATTTTAGTGTTAATGTTATAAGAAATTAGAACAGATTTAACTAATTAGATTTTATATAACATTCATATTAAAATCTGATGGTGAAATTTTGGTGTAGTTACATTTGCGTGAAGATTGTACTAGGCTATCAATAATACATAATAATGCCTAATACTACAGTCATCGCAAAGAAGATTTGGTAAAATAATATACAATTTTTTTTATATTTAAAAATGACTAAATTATCATATTTAAGAATTACTAAATTATTCTTCAATTTGGTTTGAACTAATACAATAGTAAGATTATCTAAATATTATTATACAGTAGATAATTATTTGCAGTGAAGTTTTAGTATGAACACCATATACAAGTATTTTTTAAAGTTACATACAATTAGGTCTATGATAATGTATATCTTTCTTAATTTCATATTGATAGCAATCTCTGACTTAAAAATAAATCATCCTATTAGTATTTCCAATTAAAATTTTGTATTATTTCAGGAAGGAATACAGATTTTAAAAGTCTATCATTAATATATACTAATTTTTTTTAAATTTTTAAAATGAATAACAGATTGGTACATAGTTATTATAGTTACCAGTCATTGTTGTACTTGGTTAATTACTGATAAGTTTATACTCTACATAGTTTTATAATATCATATTATTTAGCTGATTCAAAAGTCAATTAAAGACCTTGAAACCATCTGAAAAGGCAAAATACTTTTTAAGAAAGCCTTAGAAATTAAAAACTTATTTGGATTAACAAAAAAAATCTAAATACCTGATCAAAATTTTGAATATTGTGTAATGCAAAATGAAAAAATAATCTTTGTGTAGCCAAAAAGTTATTTTTGTATCATATAAATTATATACTTATTCTAAAGATCATTAGAATATCAATGTACATAATAACTTTATATTAGCTACCAGGCCTTAAGTTATATATCTCAACTTGATCAATTACAATCTTAATCGAATCAGCTGACAAATCATTTGACTAATTTTTTATAAAATGTTAAGATACTGTCTTAGCTGGGATCTTGACTTTTGAGGTTTTGGCTATTTAAGATTTTGACTATTCAGGATTTTGATCATTTCAGAG